AGTCACGTGAAAGAGTCACAGCAAGCTGACTAAATCTGTCCCTTACGTCGGCTCCCAATAGGCTCACTGGTACGTACCCGTGAAAATGACCAAGCAAACTGGCGGCACGGATTGACAAATGCGTCTCACGTCAGTCTACACGTTTCTCTACACGTTTCTCTACACCGCCGTAGGGAGCGGATGCATCGTCTTCGGCCATTGTTTGAACTTGCGAATGGTCTGGCGAAAACTCCTATAACCTGTACAGTAGTGGCATGATGTAGATGGACGAACTAAGATTATTCGAGAAGTATCATCTCCGAAGCGGCACCAGACAACCCTATCGCATCCCCCGTCATGAATCCCAGGATGATGCATTCACCAACAAGGAGGTATCGGCCTTCCGAAGATGGCCGGATGGTGTACGGAAGCTCCATTCCGTCGAAGATACAGATGAAGTCTCCCTCCTCAGCCACCGGCGTCAGCCAGCCTAGCCTTCCGCTCTCCGTACTGCCAAACCGCCGGTGCAGCTTTTCTAGTATCATGCTCTCGAGGAGATGGCTCGATTCAAGGCCCATGCTTGTCATCACGGCGGATAACCACCTACTATGGTTGCTTTCGTGGGCCATAGCTTTGTAAAGCTGCATTTGAGTAGCAAACTCTGTCCTGACCACTGCCAAACCCTGAGGAACTTCTTTGTTGATGAAAGAAACACCCAGCAATGCGTTCTGTAAAGCTCCCTCGACGTTAGTTGCGCCCGAGGCCTTTGCAATAGACAAACATTCTTCAAGCCATTCCCATCTCCGCCTTTGCATCGCCTGAATATTCTTCCGAAAGGGTTGCAGATCCCTATTGAATAATTTTTCGACGATACGAGCGTCGCCGAGACTTCTGTTGTCCGATCCGAGAAAGCGAACCCTGTCGATGATGCAGCCCCGTATCCCTAGGATATCACCGCCATCGTGTAACACCGTTTGCAGCACCGTGTCCCCAGATGCGTTATGATCTTTGTACTGCTGTACAGAGAACTGGGTGACCAAGGTACCCCCGTCCCTA